ACCAAACAGCACAGTGACTACTTGTAACCCTATAAATAGGCCAACTGACTGATCACAAGTTTGTGGACACCTGTGATGCTAATTAGAGGACACACCGTGATTGATTATGTCCCTATGGTCACATTATTTTCAGTCTTTTCTAGGGGTCCCGTCATTTTTTCCAGGCCTGTTTTATAAGTTTATTTTTTAAAATAATTCTGTTAAACCACGGTTCAAAAGCAATGTCTGATTTTCATTGGTTAATTTTCATAGAATTTTTATTTATTACTACTTTTGCCAGATTCAAGTTATTTCTGTGACTGTTGTGGGTTTTTCTTTCATTAACCGAGGGGTACCAACAATTGTGTCCACATATGTACATAAAAGCACTGCAGTTCACCTTGTATTTATCACACTTCAAAAATACCAGTACAACACTAATATTGTACAAACTATGGCCACAATTTTACCCTGTTTATAGTATCCACTGAACCTGGTTATGAATTTATTTATTTTTTGTTCAGCAGCTGAGTAGGAAATGTTTCTATCAGGATGTATTTTTTGGATGTTACTGAATTTTCGACTAGCCTGAGCAATGATGTGAGTGAAAAGATATCATTTATCAGGATATGTTTACCACTTTATTTTGTAGGGTTTTCTTGTTTCATCCCAGGCACCTCCAGTGTATACTGCCTTTTGTCTCTTAAATTGGTTGCAAAAATATAACGAGCAGGGAATCTTCTTACTTTCTTAGTTTTGCTCTTTGTAACCTATTAGGACTTAAATTATTTCATATATTCAAGAACAGTTGTGCAGGAACAAACATATAGAAGCTTGCAAGGAAAACATACAACACTGGTTTATTTAAAAAAAAACAACAAACAAAAAAATAACATATATATATATATCTTTCTTTGACTACTGTTCATTTGGTATAAGTTTAGTTTTTGGGTGTGCAGTTTCACTTTGGCTTGATTGCAGTTAATAACTTTATTGCTACAGTGATGAGTGCTTTCTGTTTCTATGCAGTGCCCTGACAGAGAAAATAGTTTCTGTTCTACCAAAGATGAAGTGTCCTCATCGCCTGGAACCCCATCAAATCCAAGGGCTGGATTTTATTCATATTTTTCCAGTGATACAGGTAAAAAAAAAAAAAAATCATCAAAAGTAACAAAAGTACCCATTTGCATATTGTTAATGATCAAGTCTGAGTATTACACAGACAGGTGACAAATTAAAGGAAACCCCTCAACCCATTCCCCCGACAGTGAGGAAATGTGGTGGCTCTGTTATGATGTTGGAGATATTTGCTGGCATGGTTTGGGTCCAATTGTCCCATGAAAGGGAAGACTCACTGCAAACCAATACAAAACTGTTCTGAGTGATTGGTCATCTTAATCCTATGATGAAACATTTCTATCCTGATGGGAGTGGTCTATTCCAGGGTTATAAGGCCTTCATTCATAGTCACTGAACTGTCTGATGAGGATGAAAATGACAGGAATCGTATGTCACCCAATCTCAGTCTATTTGTGCATGTATGGGATCAGTGTGTTGGATAGCATTCTCCACCACCTTCATCAGAACACCAAATTAAGAAATATCTCTTGGAAGAATAGTGTTCATCCCTCCAGTTTCAGAGACTTGAATCAATGCCATGTGGTGCCCCAACACCTTACTAAGATACTTAATTTAGTTTTTTCTTTGATTTCTTCACTCATCTACACTTCTACAGTGTTTTTTGTGACTTGTCTCAAATGGAGTTATCCTTCATGAGACAAAGGTTCCTTTTCACTATTGTCTGCTTGTTTGACAACTTGAAGGAAATTTGTTTCAACTGGTTGGATTCAGCTACCTTTACTTACTGTTGGACTTCAGTTACAATCCAATCAAAGTGAATTGATAGGCCCAGTTGGAGCATGCAGTTAACCAGAAGCCAGTATTTGTGGAGGTGTGCACTGTTCCTGTCAATCTGTGCCTTCTGGTTTATACTTGTGTTAGATGAGTTGTGTGTTTGTGCTTTCTGTTAGTGGCTGGTGAAGCGAGCAATAGCGACAAGGGCAGAGATGGGAGATTATGTGAGAGCATACTCAATTTCTCAGTTCCAGAAGAACCACAGCCTCCCAGAGGTAAGCACTAGTCAGTAACAGCGTCAAGACCTAGCAACAGTTAACAAATCGTTTTGTACAAAGACCAAAAAATGACAAATCCAGTAATTCAAAAATGAGAACTTAAGAAAAAACATTTTAGACCTGCTTCAACTGGATGGATACATATTTATATAATATTTAACTGTTGTTTTATGTTAAATATTATTGATACGTTGTCACTAAGAATAAAAGTTCAAGGATTTACAAATAAATAATGATTGTTATAAACAGTAAATCTAAATAAAT